TTGTGTAATGATGTCTCATTTAAAATTCTGATTTTGAAGTCGGTGCAGCAGTTTTTGGGCACCCTGCATCAATAAAACTCATCAGAGCATATTTACAAAAATCTATATTGACTTTAAGACATTCTATTCAAAATTGTGGGACATGCTATAAATTTAAAAGTGGGATATTATGACGTAAACATTCATTCACCTTGCGCTGCATTTTACTAACTCCAGTTTTGTTTATTTTGCAGACCACTAGTTGTTCAGAAAACTTTCAACAAGACAAATTTCAAAAACTACTTGTGGAATATATAGCACAGAAGTATCTCCCTTTCAACTTTTTTGAAGATGCTATAAGTGGAAAAATGTACAAATTCCTAAATCCAAAGGCAACTCTACCTGGTCGGAATCAAATGAAATCTTTGACATTAAAAACATTTGCAGCAGCGCAGCAAACAATTAAGTCATTTTTGAAAACATGTAATTCAAAAATCTCGTTCACAATCGATGGATGGTCTTCTTTTAATATGAAGGGGTACTATGGTATTACCGCCCATTTTATCGATAAAAATTGGAAACTTCATTGTATCCTTCTAGATTTTGTGCCAGCACATGGGCAACATACTGGTAATGCAATTGCAAAGCTATTTTTCGAAGTATTACAATTCTACGATGTTACAAAATGCATACAAGGTATTACTACCGACAATACAAATAGTAATTTTACGTTCATCAGAGAACTTCAAACGCATATTTCTGAAATCGATACAAAAAATATCCACTTTGTATGTTTTGCACACATCTTAAACTTGGCAGCTAGAGATTTTATGAAAATCCTTGATTCTGAGGTTGAAGAAACCGCCAACATTTTGACAGATATATCAGATGATGATGATGATGACTGCCAAGTTCCGCCCTCTTCTGTAAGAAAAATCCATTCCCTTGCTAAAAAATTAAAAAACTCTGAACATTTACGTGAAGATTTTGAAAAATTTTGCACCACTTTAAACCTGAAATTTACTATGCCAAAACTTGATGTCATAACAAGGTGGAACTCCACGTTAGACATGTTGAGATGGAGTCTAAATATGAGAAACGCACTTAACATCCTTTGTGATAATGTAGAAAATTTAAAAACTTTAATGCCAACCGACACAGAATGGTCGTTAATTGAACGAATTTGCCAGTACCTTAATGTTTTTAAGAGTATTTCCATAATTTTAGAAGGTGAATCATATGCTCCTTTACCCATGATAATAATCGGTATTAATATGTTGCTGGATAGACTAGAATCGTGGGCTATGGTACTTGACAATAAACCTGATCGAGATGAAATCGATGAAAAGATTATAAATAGTATTCAAGCGGCAAGGGACAAAATCATTAGACATTACGAACGGACTAACTGGATGTACTGTTTGTCCTGATTTTAGACCCCCGACATAAAGTGGATACATTCTCCAATACACGTTGGGGAAAAGAGTTGCAGATAGAAGCAATTAAACATTTTGAAGATATTTTTAAAGCACAATATTTTAGGGCTGACTCTGCAAATTTCTGAACCATCACTTCAAGTAGCAGCATCTTCAAACCCTAGTAAAGATAGTAGTGTCGAAAAGTTTGAAATAGATCTACTAAGTTTGTTTAACCCTCCAATAGGCGCGTGGATTACAACTCTCCCCTGCAATGGCAAAACGCAGTAACTCAAGTTACTAGGTTTTGGCTTTGTAGCGCCAGATGGATTGGTCACCTTCCAAACTATTTGCTACTACAAATAACTTTATTATAGGCCAATTAGAATCATAGATACAGGCATAGGAGGAATCGTATCTCCCACAGTTTTGCTGGAATTACTAAATCAAAAAACTGTATTTGAAGTTGCTGGTAGCTGTTCGGTTATTTTACAGTCATGCGCTGAATGCTAAAAGAAAGCAACGTATCTGCAGTTGCTGTGTTCTGGAATAGCAAAATGTTCTGTTATTTGTCATATACTGCTACGTATCTCTAGTTGCCCTATTTCAATATGGTAAATGCAGCACAAATTTGGCAACATTAGTAGGAGTTAGTTTTGCTAACCAACAGATATATCATTTGTGAGTGAATCAGTTAAAAACGCATTGTATAAGTTCCAAAATCATGAACACACGAGGAAAACGTTTGGTACAGATGGCCCTGAAAAGGTAAGTTTAAAACTTGACTGTAACTAAGCTCTGTTTTTCAAATCCGTGAATATGCTAAAAATATAGCATAACCTCACTCCCATTTCATAATTCCCAACGGCTGCTTTGCCGATCCCATAGCTATTGCAACGTTGTCAGACACTTGTAATATCAGAATAGAAAAAGTAATAACTGATCAATCGTATTTCGAGTTGAGAAGAAACCTGCTGTAATTCATTGCATACCCAAAGATTAAAAAAAACTATTGGAAGCTTAAGTATAAACCAACTAGGTATTTGTTATTTCATTCTGTTTCATCCTAGTTTCACTAACATTTAGAGAGGTAAACATGAAAATGCACGAGTTGTAATGGTTTGATTGGAGCGTAGTTTAACTATGACCAAGAAATTTTTGCGAATAGCCTAAAATGGACAAAAGTATATTTTTCAGGTCGCTACCTGAAGAAGTCGATTCCGACTCAGAAGTAGATGATTCTGATCTTGATCCAGACTTCGACCCAGCTCTGGAACACCCTAAGAAAATTAAATCTTATTTTGGTCCAGAGGACTTGCTCCTTGATATTTCGAAAGTCCATAACGAGACAACACCAACTAATCCATCTACGAGTAGCTTGAACGATAAACCTGTTGTTAGTCATTTGGGTGACCTTCCAGAAGTCTCCTCTCTGGTCGCAAATAACAATGAAGATGCTACTGAGTTGTATTTACGTGATATGCTTGAGGCAGCATTACAATCAGTTTTTGAAATTGTTGAAAATCCGAATAAGAAGATGAAAAGACTTCGCAAAGAGAAAGAGAAAGTGAGAAGGAACCTCGAATCACATAAGCTGCTTACTCCTTGCTTGGAATCTTGTCGCAAGCATTGCAGTACAAAAATTGATGAATATTCAAGGCAAAAAATATTAGAGAGCTTCTGGAAACTGAATTTTTCTCAACGAAGGTTGTATTTGACAGCATATGTTAAAGAAGAAAACGTCAAAACTAGAACTACCCAGGGAAACTTTTCTAAAAGAACCTCCACGTTAAAGTACTACCTACCTCAATATGGAGAAGATTCTCGATCAGAACTCAGAGTCTGCAAAACACTGTTTCTTCATACTTTAGGACAAAGAAATGATTCCATCATCACTCAACATCTGAAAGCTAGAAGGAGAATAGACAGCAATGTAGAAATCAAAGATAGAAGAGGAGAATCAGCTAGAAGATCTGCGCAAATTCAAAAGGCTATGACAGATACCGTAATCGAGAACCATGTAAACTCTTTCCATCCATATGTTTCTCATTATAAATTAGACCATGCTCCCTTACGACGATGTCTTTCACCTGAGATAAATATTTCGCTTATGTGGAGAGATTTTTGCACGAGCAGACAAAAAATATCATACGAGAAGTATAGACAAGTTGTTGATAAGCTCAATATTGGCTTCGATCATCCCTCTCAGGATGATTGTGGAGTTTGTAGTAAGTACTCAATTCATAATGGAGAAACAGCTGTTGATCTTAGTCATAATCCTGCCGCATGTGAAACTTGTATCAAGCATAATGTGCATAAGACACACTACACTTCAACTAGGCGTGCTTACAAGGAAGATAAAGACCGTGACTGGCAAAGAGGAATTGAAATTTATACTGTAGATCTACAGAATGTTCTGCTCCTTCCCAAGATGACTACTAAAGAGTCATTTTTCATACCAAGGCTAGTGACTTTCAACGAGACATTCGCTCCCTTGCACAAAGATGATAATAAGTGTTATGTCTGGCATGAAGCTACTAGAGGACGCAATGCTCCAGATATTGCCTCAACGTTCTATCATGTCATTAAAAATTCTAACCCAAACGTTATGTCTTTTATCTTTTGGATGGATAACTGCTCCGCCCAAAATAAGAACTGGACGTTGTATACAATGTTTGCCTGTTTGGTGAATGCAGATTGGGGACCGGAAAACATCATTGTGAAGTACTTTGAGCCAGGACATTCTTTTATGAAGGCTGATTCAGTACATGGACAAATAGGACGCGAGTGGAGAAAGCGTAAACAAATATTGGACGTTAATGATTTTGTTGATGTGATAAATGCATCGTCTAAGAAAAATAAACCAATAGTTATGCGTCACAGTGATTTCTATCCTTTTATCGATGGCTCCAAACAACGCCGTAAAAATATATCTGGGGAAGTAAATATTCCGCTGTTAGACCAAATCAAGATTGGTGAGTTCAGAAAAGGTTCCAGGTCTCTATTCTACAAAACATCGTTTGATGAGACTGAATACGCTGAGGCGAACTTTTTAAAGAGTAAGTTTGATATAAATCAGCAGCCTGTAGCTTATAGTAATGATAGAGGGATCAACACAGCAAAAAAACAAAAAATAGTTGAAGAACTATGTCCTGCGATGGAATCCAGAAAACAACTATTTTGGAGACAATTACCAACAAATGATGATGTTCCTGATCTTTTATGTCGATCGGGAGAATCTGCATAAAAGCAACAGCATCCTGGATTTTCAAGAATACTAATTCGCAGCCCCTTAAAACTGTATAGAATCGACAAGGATCTTGAATTCCAATGTGAAAAACAAGTAACTTTATTTACTGTAGTATTTACTTGTTGTATTCTATGACAATAAAATTTCCAAACAAAGTATCTAATTTAACTTTATGAAGACAGTTTTTAAACAAGAATTGTTTCAATGGCTGGAAAGGGCAAATTTTTGTCTTTTACAAAAGGCTTTTTCTACTATTAGTGACTTAAGTCTACTTATCGGCTTGAGTAGAAATGTTCTTCATTGATTTCTGTAAAAGTCACAAAAACAAGTTACTATCTTTTGCCATTGCACGGGAGAACTGTAAGTGTGAGGCCTGACTGCCCGCTCTAGACGAGCGTGCAGCGGCGCGGGGCGTGGAGCGTGTATGTCTATCTCTGCTTATTCTATCTAGATGTCCTTAGTGGCAGCCGCCAGAGCGTTGTAGAGAGCGCGCATGTTTGCGTTTGGTGGAGCGTCGAGCGGTGTACAGCGTTCATTTCAATTCTGTTTGTGTTTTTAGAGCGTTTCAGTAGCACGTGCATTATGCCGTTCGAAGAAATAATTTGTGCAATCCAAGAAAAACCAGAAATATGGATGTCAAAGCATGCTCTCTATAAAAATAGACTAGTGAAAGCAAAAATCTGGACTGAATTAGCAGAAAAACTAGGCATAGAAGGTAATATTTTATTACATTTTCATTACATTACATACTGAAAATAACTGAACATATTTTGTAAACATTATATTTTCCTATCCCAAAAGTAGTTAGCGAATTGGTTCCGTATATTTCTCGCGGCCTGAGAAGAACTGTTGTTTCTTCTATTGAGATCAGCATAATGTGCCCCAGGAGTCAGATTTGTGTCATAGTTTTGAGAATTACAATCATTTCCTTCGAGATCACGTATGACATTGTGTAGAAGGCAAGCGGTTTTTATTATTAAACATGCGTGTTCTACATTTGTTTCGATCGGCTTACTGAAAATACGCCATTTTGCGTATAAAATACCAAAAGCACATTCAATACATTTTCGTGCACGTGAGAGACGTTTATTGAAATACTCATTTTTATCATTCAGGTTTCTTGATGGAATCGGCCGCATTAAATGTATTTTCAAAGGGTAGGCTTCATCTCCCAGAAAAACATAAGGAGATTCTAATGTGGTCCCTGGTAAATTATCGGGTGGAGGAATATGTAGTCCTCCATTTTCCATCAAACTGTTCAACGTTGAATAATGAAAAGTCCCTCCATCACTTTGTTTGCCTTTTCCTCCTACTTCTATGGAGATAAATCGTTTATTTGCATCCGCCACACCTTGTAGTATTATGGAAAAATATTGCTTGTAATTGTAAAACGAAGAGCCAGACTTAGCGGGACACTTCATTCTGCAGTGTTTGCCGTCAATAGATCCTAAACACATAGGGAACTGCCATAGTCTGTAATAGTCATTTGCTATATTTTTGAAGTCCTCTTGCGTTGGCCGTGCCATATGTACTTCAACCAATTGCTGCCATATAGCTGAACAAGTTGCATAAACAATGTCGGCTACTGTTGTTTTCCCCATTCGAAAACTAAAAGCCAGTGCTCGAAAAGATGTTCCAGTAGCAAGATATCTGTAAAAAAATTATACTGAAAAAAATTGGTAAACCTAAATATCGCTTAGATTGACAAAACTGAAACCCTACTCATTTATGTTATCGATTTGTACATGGAAATATTTTTTTCTTGCAGAAGTTACATTGAAAAAGCGTTGGAAACATTTAAAAGACCAATACCGGAAGGAACTCAAGAAACAACCACATTTCAGATCTGGAGCAGAGGCGGACGTTTGGGTGTCTTCATGGCAATATTTTAATTTAATGATGTTCATTAAAGATGAAGTAATGCCTGCACCATCAATTGGAAATTTATCTGTTAATGAAACAGATGATAGCCAAGAAGCAGAAAATATAGAAAATGATGAGGACAGTTCAGAGATGCCAAATGATTCGGATAATTTGGATTCTGAAATGATGCAGCCGATGATGTCTCCACCTTCTCAACCTGCAGCCACATCGTCTGCAAGTTCGTCTCAACAGTCGTCATCGTCGTCAAGAAAACGTTTGAATCTGAAGGAGAGTATGCTAGACATCGAAAAAAAGAAACTTCTATTGATGGAAAAACGGTTAATGGAGACCGATAATGATCAGAAGTTAAATAATGATGAAGACTTCTTATTCTTGAGAAGCATTCTTCCCGCAATGAAGAAACTAACGGAACTGCAAAAATTTCAGTTCCGTGGCAAAGTTAATGAATGGCTGTATGAAGCTACGAAAGAAAACCAAGCAGTTACTTCTCAACAAAATGTTAATTATCAGTGTTACTACACTACACCACCAGATGAAGAAACTCAGAGTTTAACTTTTTTGTAGTTCGAATTAAATAAAATAAATACGGTTACCTATATTGAAGTAGTTTCATTTCTACTCACCTTAAGGTCACGATTAATTTTTCTGCAGACGTTATTGAATCTGATATATGAAAGTTAGTGGCTGTTAACTTTAAACGAGCATCTATTTTTTCCAATATGTAGTCGAAAGTTGGCACTGACATTCTTGTATACTCGTAGAATTTGTTTTCGTCTGATCGTAGGGTTTCGTACAATGTAGAAAATTCACCTAATCTTTTTCTTTGTCTAACAATATGACTTGGACCCTCCTTGCATAACAAGTCAAATTTTAAAACTGAATTTTCTTCTAAACACATATCAAAAATGTCATATGAAGCCATGATGATCAAAATACGTATATCACAAATGAACGCTCGCTGTTCACTGAGGCCAGTCAAAGAACGCTCCTAAATTCGCTGCACGCCACGCTGCACGCTCCGCAGAACGCAGTTCTCACTCAGGCCTCACACTAATCCACACCGCTTTGGGAAGTGACCAACGAGAAATCAGCGCGCAGTTAGAATCGCCCGCTTGAGTAGCTGTCGGTAGCAGATGTAGGTATCCTATGTAGTAGCTATGGGCAGAATCGAATGATTCTAATAATCGGATAGTTAGTATTCGAATGATTTTAAGAATCGATATATCACTCGAATGATCATTCACATGTTGTAAACATCGTTCAGTCAGCAGTTCTGATTTCTGATTCTCGTTTCTCGCTGCCGCGACGCCGCGAGCGATTTGAACAACGATTGCAGTGTTGCCGCTTTGCCAGTAATTACTTGCATTTGCAAGGAATGAGGAGCTTTGCAAGTAAACTTGCAAGGAATGGGTGCTCTGGAGGAATTTGCAAGTAATTGATGCGATGTTCATATTTTATGGATTAAAACATTCGTAACAGTTGCCATATTAGCATAACATTCTATGATACGGCGTGCGGGATTCAACCTAGAACATGGAGCCGAGCCAGCTGAAGTGAAAAAACAAATCGGGATAGAACGCATGATCACTAAGTAGGTGCTTCTGTTATCTGTCATTTTTCTCGGGACCATAAAGCCGCTGTGACTGTCAAGCCGCAGCAGTCTTGAGTCTTAGCAGAGCACTGAGGAGTAAAAATGGCCGTACTGACTGAAATATGAATACTCATCGTGAATCAATCAGTCGGTAGATATACATCTATTTTTGCGGAACACTCGTCACTCGGAATTGGAGGTTGTGTTTGGAGGTATGAGAAGTCATAGCACAGGTTCACCAAAAATTCATTCAGCGGTAGAATCGGTAGAATTAGACCTGAAGGAGATTCGAATACCTGTCATAACTAAACGAATAAAAACATTGAACTTTGCCAGTAATTGCAAGTAAACTGTCAGGTATTTGCAAGGAATTGCAAGTAAAACTGTCTGGTACTTGCAAGTAATTTGGCCACAACGCTGTGGCAACACTGATGAATGATTTTGTTTTAGTTGTTTTCGAACTTCGTGACGTGACGGGTGGTGTTTCGCTCAGTGGTGTTTTTCTTTTGCGGGTGATTTACGTTCGTCTTGTCTGTTTTGTTTAATACTAACTTTATCAGGCTTGGGTAAATTAAAATAAGGTAGTGTATATTCGTCCGTACATGTGCGGTCGACGTGACGTTTTGTTTAAACGGCCGTACATGTTTTAATTTGCACTGCTTAAAATAAATTAATCGTCCGGTTAGGTTAGCGCTTTCTTTAGAGGTTTTAATAATATTTCAATATGTACTAACATTTCAATAAACCATTCACCTGATCGAACTTAGGCAAGAATATCGAATGTGCGGCCGTTTAAACAAAACGTCACATCGACCGCACATGTACGGACGAATATCCAGTGCCTTAAAATAAATCTAAGTGTAAGTTTTTCTGTGAAAAAATAATTGTACTTTTTATTATTATGTTTTAATTGCAACAATTCTACCGGGAATAATTTTGTTACCGGTACCGGGACTCTAGCCACAGCGTAAATCAAATTCGTTAAATACCGATTTATTATAATTTGCCCATGCCTGATATAATTATGAGACCTGGTGCTAAAAAATCCGTCGTTTGGGAATATTTTAAAAAATCTTCCAACACAAATTTTGTGCAATGCAATATTTGCAAAAAAGAACTAAAATTTTTTGGGAATACTACAAATTTGAATCAACATTTGAAGCGATTGCATGCAACTCAATTATTAGCAAATGAACCACCCAATAACGACAAGGATTTAGACAATAATGACCAAAAAGTGAATTCATTCAAGCACAAAGAAGATGAAGCTGGTCCATCAAGTAAAACCGATGAAATAATAGGAGAAAATCGAACGGGTTCATCGAATGACTCAACATTCCATCCTCCACCCCTAAAGCGAAGAAAGCAATTAAAATTATTTGGCGCTAAAACCAATGAATTGACTGACGTGGACATAATTGAAATAGATAATGCCCTTGTAAAAATGATAGTAAAAGACTATCAGCCTTTATCTATTGTCGAAGACGAAGGCTTTATTGAATATTCTAAAAGGCTTCAACCATTATATAATTTGCCGAGTAGGAAAAAGCTTTCAAGCATGCTTATCCCACAATTATACGAAAGAGAAAAATTAAAATTAAAAAATATGTTGCGCGAAACAAATAATATTGCAATCACTACGGACTGTTGGAGTTCAGATAGTAATAAATCATATATCACTATTACTTGCCATTTTATATATAGTGACAAAATGCATTCCAATGCTTTAGCTACAAGGGAAATGCTACATTCTCATACAGGAGAAAATCTAGCATTATCCGTAAAAGAAGTTTTGCAAGAATGGGACATATTTGAAAAGGTGTCTACAATTGTTTCAGATAATGCTGCAAACATAAAAACTGCAGTGCAAATACTGAACAAACATCACCATCCATGTGTGGCCCACACTCTTAATTTGAGTGTAAATGAGGCACTTAATGGAAAGCCCTTATTAAGCGCGATACTAAAAAAATGTAGGAGTATTGTTGGACATTTTAAACACAGCAACAATGCTTCTAATAAATTGAAAGCGGTGCAAGAGCAGATGGGGCTTCCTGTTCTTAAAGTGAAGCAAGATGTTCCTACAAGATGGAATTCTTGTCTAGTAATGCTGGAAAGATTATTGGTGATAAAAGATTCCTTGAGTATTACTATTACCAGTATTTCCAGTGCTCCAGAATTTTTAGATGCTCAAGAATGGACTATAATAAAAGATTTAATTCCTATTTTGAAGCCAGTGGAGGTTATCACCACAATCCTATCTGGCGAAAAGTACCCTACAATGTCTTCAATAATACCACTCATAAGAGGATTGCAGCATGCGCTAGTACGTTTCAGTACTGAAAATGAGGTCTGCACTCTTTTAAAAAATGATTTAGTAGATATTATTTCACGTCGTCTTGGAATTCTTGAAGTAAATAAGACTGTCGCGAAGTGTTCATTTTTGGACCCAAGGTTCAAAAAGTTGGGATTCGGGAACGAAACGAATTCTTCTAATGCTCAGAAATGGGTGTTTGAAGAACTGGTCCAACTGATAAGAAAGAAAAATGAACTAAATATAAATGACTTGGAGGAAAATAGACAGGAAGATGACTTAAGTAATCAAAATCCATCCAAAGACAATGATTTCGGAGTTTGGTTAAATTTTGACACAAGGTTATCTACAGTGAAGTCGACAGTTACCCCTACTACTGTTGCTACCTTAATAATTCGTCAATACTTGGAACTGCCTTTTGTAAATCGAAAAGAAAATCCATTAGAATTTTGGAAAGCACACAAACAAAGTATGCCTGAGCTCTATGAGCTTGCACTTAAATATTTAACAGTTCCTGGTACATCTGTACCCTCGGAGAGGATATTTTCGAAATGTGGACAACTAACCAACTTAAGACGAAATCGCCTATCTCCAAAAAACTTAGACCAAATAATTTTTTTAAATAGTTCTAATTTAGACTAGTATTATTAATTCAGAGTTTATGTTTGTATGGTACAAATATTTTGTTATGTCATGAAGTTTAATTTTATTATTTTATTTTATTATTATTCTAATATTTTGTTTTAGAAATTAACCTATATAATAATATATTATGTTTGCAGTTTTAAATCAAAGTTTAAGAAATGTAATTAAGTTTTATTTTACTGTTCAGAACAATAAGTTTGTTTTAGGAATAAATGTTTATTTTTCCAGTTTTAAACCAAAGTTAAATAAACTTTTTGTTAACATTAGTTTTATTTTTCTGTTATTATGTTACATATTTCCAAGCAGATTTATTATTATTATTATTACATATTTTGTTGCAAGGAATAAAGTTATAGGTAATGAATGCTCAATTCCAATCATGTATTGAGTTTGAGGTTTTAAGTTTTAACACCAAGATAGAATATGAAATTATCAAATCAATATAAATTACTGCTGTTATAAATATAATTAATAATCAGATAAACTAATATGCATAAAATTGAAATAAACTTTCGCCACTTGGCACATAATATACGTTAAAAAAACTATTGAGAGAAATCTGCTAAGGCACCCTATATTGTTATTCCCAACTAATAAAAAAATAGTTCGATCGAAATAGAAAGAGCTATCAAAAGAATGCGCTTGAAAATTTAGATTTGTGATTCGATTATATTACCACACATAATAATAAAATTACGATGCGACAACATAAATTCTCAAGCGCATTTTTTTGGTAGCTCTTCCTATTTCAGTCGAAATTGTCGAAATATACCTACCACCAGGGCCGGCGCTAAGACTTTTGACGTCACGGGCAAGCCCAATTCTGCCGCCCCCCCTCCCACTTTTTTTCGTGCGCTCGGAAATCATTTAACATAGAACTCACGTATGTTAGACAATAATGCATAGTAATAGTTTTTTGTTTTCACACTACACATTTATTTATATATTTTGATTCTTAACAGTCTATGTACTCTATGTTACACCTATGTTCCTAACGCCGGCCCTGCCTACCACTTTTCGGGCCAGACCGCCAATTATTTCATAGATACGGCTGGGCTCACTGCTCACGCGTTGCTGCATGCGAAAGATGATTCACGAATGATCGCTCGAGACATCTGGTGCGAGACGCGCAGCGGCAGCATCGGTTTTATTTTGTTTCGAGCGGTCACACATTTGATTGAAGAGTGAATTATCATTCGAATCATTTGGTTGAAGTATTCGAGATATCTCGAATGATTTTGATAATCGAATGACCGATTATTTTTCATTCGAATGATCCCATCACTACTATGTAGGCTCCTTAGTATCGAATAGTCAAGTGAGAAGTGCGTTTGAGCGGATTAACAAGGGCAAACCGCGGCTGGATTACGAGTGTACTCCACGCGCCTATTTACGTTGCGGTTTTTGTAGATCGCATAGTTTCGAGTTTTTGCCGTTTGGTACTTTCGGTAAGTTTTTTCACTGTAAAGTATTGTATGAATTGGTAAACTTCAGACTGTCTTTTTTGGGTATCCTATTTTACTTAATTTTTAACAAAACCAATATTATTTGTTCAACCGGAATTCTAAAAACTATATAATATATCATTTCAGACACAAAAAATGTCCGAATCCAAAAAACCTCGATTGGAAAGTAGTACAGATCCAAAGATGTGGATGAAATGGTACGAGGAGCTTCCAAGTGAAGAGGAATGTGATTTAGATGAAGAAGATGAAGACGAGATAGAAGAAGATTTTGTAGAGAACAGCGATCATCAATCAGAATCCGAGCAAGACATTTCTTCAGATGAAGATCAGGGCATACCAGACCAAGACACAGCAGCTGTGGAAGAAAATAAGTGTGGAGGTTATTATCTTGGCAAAGATAAAATAACCAAGTGGAAAAAAAGTAGGTCAAATTTACAAGTACGTGTTCGATCTCATAACAATATAAAGTTACTTCCTGGGCCAAAAGGCAGTGCTCGTGATGCAGTATCAGAAATTGACTGTATAAAACTTTTTATAACTGATAGTGTTATTCGAATGATAACCAGCTCGACAAATAGGTATATTGAAAAAATCAAAAACAAATTTCAAGGGGATCGAGATGTCAGATTAACAGACGAAAGAGAAATTAGTGCATTTATTCGCATTTTGTTTCTTATTGGGACGTTAAGAAGTTCCAGAAAAAATGCTCACAAGATATGAAATAACTCAAAAGGCAGTGGGATAGAAGCATGCTATTTGGCAATGAGCGAAAAGCGGTTTAGATTTATTTTAAGATGTTTGAGGTTTGATGATATCACAACGAGAAATGAAAGACGAGAAATTGATAAGTTTGCACCTATAAGAGAAGTTTTTGAAACATTCTTAGCTACATTCCAGAAAAACTTTATTTCAAGTGAATTCTTGACAATAGATGAACAGTTACTGGCTTTTAGGGGCCGATGTCCGTTTAGACAGTATATGCCTAGAAAACCAGCTAGGTATGGAGTAAAGATGTTCGCATTAGTGGATGCTAAAACTTCATATACATTTAATCTTGAGCCATATCTGGGAGCTCAGCCTGAAGGACCATATAAGTTGAGTAACTCTCCAAATGATCTTGTTCTGCGATTAGTGCAACCCGTAGAAGGAACAAACCGTAACATAACAGGCGATAATTGGTTTACCAGCGTACCACTGGCAATTAAGTTATTGGAGAAAAAACTAACGTACGTGGGCACTATGCGAAAGAATAAGCGGGAGATACCAACAGAATTCTTGCCAACAAAGAACAGGGAAGAAAAAACCTCGATATTTGGTTTTCGGGAAGACCTCACAATGGCTTCATATTGCCCAAAGAAAAATAAGGCAGTAATAGTCATTTCTTCAATGCACCATGATAGTTCTATCGATCCAGAAAGTGGTGAAAATAGATTGCCGGAAATAATAACATGCTACAATCAAACGAAGGTAGGAGTAGATTTAGTAGATCAGATGAGTGACAATTATAATGTAGCTAGAACAACGAATCGATGGCCAATGGTTGTATTTTATGACTTATTGAATATATCTGGAATAAACGCTTGCTGTGTTTATAAAGCAAATCACCCTAACGAGAAAGTCCTAAGATCTGACTTTATTGAAAAATTTGCTTGGGAACTAATAAAACCTCAAATAGAACACAGGTCAACTATTTCTGTTATACCAAGAGAAATCCGCCGTCGAGCACGCCACCTGCTGGGACTGGAAGAGGTATTACCTCCTCCACCACCACCTGATATGCCAGGAAGTTGCATACGTCGCTGCTACATTTGCACGAGAAGTCGTAACAAATCAACAAGAAAAATTTGCCACAAATGTAGCAGACATGCATGCAAGGAACATATGGTGGAAGTGTGTACGTCTTGTTTGTCAATGTAAAAAGTAGGAAATATTTGTCATGCTATTTTTCGTTTTGTATATTCTATAATTTGTTATTATTTCATTTATTCAAGTTGACAAACACTTTTATTCAGGATAAAATACTTAAGTTACTGTTTTAGTTAAATTAATGTTTATTTTAATAACAATTATTGAAAACTTGCAAATAAAGGCTTAAAAAAGCACGTGTACAATAATTTATGATTTCCATAAGCTGAAATTTGCATACCCGCCGAAAACAAAATGTATTATACGTATATATAATGAAGGTCTCTTGTTTACGATAAAATACATATTTCAATTTTTCTTTATTTTTTTACATTTCAAAAATTAAATAAAATGGATTACCATTGTAATCCACGCGCCTAAATACGTTAGTATAATCCACGCGCCTAATGGAGGGTTAATAGAAAACCTGCCCATAATGCAGACGACGATATGGCCTGGCGTTACGAAATCGACAAATATATTTCTGACCCAAGAGCTGACAGTACTGAAGATATTTTAGAATGGTGGAAGAGACACGAATGCATTTTTCCAAACCTTGCCGCAATGGCCAAAGACTTTTTGGCAACGCCAGCTTCTTCAGCTCCAGTTGAAAGGCAGTTTTCTAGAGCTGCCTTAACTCTTACCAAAACAAGAAATCGATTAGGCGATAACTCCGTTAGAAGCCTTTTGTGTCTCAAATCATGGATGGCAAATGAGGATATTAAAGATTTATTTTAGATATTCATTTTCATGTTTGTTGATTTTCTATTGTTTTATTGTCAGAATTCAGAATATTTCGCATTTTTATTTCATATTATTTCATGTATTATTAAACTGAGTTTGTTAGAGTTTTCGTTTTTAGATGTTTTTTAAATAAAAGATTAAATCTATATATACATAGATTTTTATTGTTATTCCGTTTTGGCAGTTGAACAGATTAGTATCAAAAAAGTACATTTTTTCAAGAAAAATCAAGTAGTTAGCTTGAAAACTTGATTTTCAAGTTACTTGATGTGTAACTACTTGACTTGACTTGAATTTCAAAAACAAATACTTGACTTGATCTTGACTTGATATCAAGTCAAGTCAAGTCAAGTAGCTTGAAAATCAAGTCAAGTCGTGAATCTCTATTTGAACACCAGTTTACTGGGAAAGGCGACGAAACGAGCGCCCAGTGATTCAATGCAGGAGATGCCACAGACACGGGCATGCGACTGCAAACTGCCAAAGGCAACCGCGATGTCTCAAATGTGCAGAAGAACTCTGGACAAACGCCTGCACAAAAAGTAGGGAGAGACCAGCAAAATGTGCTAACTGTCAAGGGGCACATCCAGCAAATTACTCAGGCTGTCCTGAATACAAGAAAAAAGTAGGAGCCGTGGATGAAAAACGAACAATGGCCAAACAACAGTTCAAGCCAGCACCTCTACCCGCTGAAAATGCCTGGAGCAAACGTAGCAATAGCCATCAAAGCCAGAAGATGATGGATCCACAGGAGTACCCACCACTGCCAAGGAGAGCGGAAGCCACAAGGACTGAAACGCCAAGGGAACGTGTCACTACTATTCCTGAGACAACAGAAGGCATCGGACTCTTCACAAGGATATCCGATGAAGTGAAAGAACTGAACAAATTGGTTAACTTGAAAGGTCTTCTAGATGCCTTCAAGGACCTCAACCGCCTCCTTGGAACGGCTAATTCCTCGCAGAAAAAAATCACAACTTTCATAGAATTTGTCCAGGGGCTAGATAAGTATAGTATTTAAGATAAATAATATCCATATAGCTTACATCAATATAAATGGCCTTAATAATAAAAAGGCCGAATTTGTAAATTTTGTATTACACCATCGGCTCGATATTGTTACGGTTTCTGAAACTCAATTCAGAGATCGCGACCGTATAAGGCTCCGAGGATATAACCAGATAAGAAAGAATAGACCGATAAACCCAAACATCACAAGAGCGAAAGCCGGAGGTGGTCTTATAATGTTCATTAAAAATGGTATCAGCTACACTGAAGTAAAATTTCAAAGTATTTCGTTTGAATATGTGGCCATCAAACTAGACAGTAGTGTAGTACTGACGGCGATGTATAAGCCACAAAACATACGAAATAACGATCAGGAATTAGATAGGATATTCAATCACCAAACAAAGTCATAATAATGGGGGATTTTAATTGTAGACGTGTACATTGGGGGAACACTAGCAATAATTACAATGGTTCAATACTGAACAACTACCTTGAAAGTAGAAGCAATGTTGTACTTTTTTATCCAGATAGCCCGACACATTTTCCATTTAATGGTAGCACCCCATCAGTTTTAGATATAGTTTTAAACAAAAATTGTGAAAATTTATCAGAAGTAACCACTTTAAATGAACTTTCATCTGATCATAACCCAATAAGCTTCCGAATAAAATATAAAATTAATAGAGATACAAAAACTGTGTGGAACTATCGAAATGCAGACTGGAGATCTTTCAAATATCACTTAGACAAATATATTGAAATCAAATTATAAAGACACGCGAAGATTTAGACGAAGCCACTGGAAATTTTATAAAAGCTATCCAAACTAGTAGAACTTGTGCAGTAGAAAGAACAACAATACATGAGGACTTTGACAATATATCAGATGGAATTAAAGTTAAAATCAAAATCAGAAACAACATCAGGAAAATATGGCAAAAATACCAAAATACAGAAGACAAAGAACTACTTCTACAATTATCTAGGGAAATAAACTCTGACATCATAAATGAACGATCACAAAAATGGAAAAACCGTCTCAGAAATATAGCGAAAGGTGACAAGGATATTTGGAAGATCTCTAGGCAGCTTAAAAATGCAGGTAAACAATTTCAGCTACCCGCCCTTCAGGCTGAAGGTAACTTTTACTTAACCGATAAAGATGAAGACGATTGTCTAGGCAAAAATCTTGAAAAAAGATGGACAACATTGCCTGACACAATCGAAGACATGGGCGCCCCCAGGGGGGGGCAGGGGGGGCCGCGGCCCCCCCTGAGATTCTGATTATTTGGTATGGTTTTTTTATATTTACTATCTACATAAAAAACAATTTTAGGATAAAAATATTAGAAATAAACTTGTAGCAGAGCAACGTGTATTGTATTCATAAACAGACGCTAACAGACTAGGGCTAATTTCGCCTTTTTTTGTTCTGGATTTTTTTAAATCTGGATTTGACGCATTTTGACAAAAATCCGCGAAATTCGCGCTAGTGTGAATGATGCCTAACCCTGGCGCTTGTGCAATAGGAAGTCACGTTAAGGTGCGTATGCATATGCGAGCCGAGCGGTTCGCGAGCCGCTTGTGAGCCGCTCGATGGTGGTTCGTTGAAATGATTTTTTCAGCGAACCTCCAGCGATCCACAGATTCAGCGCACCAAACGCAAACAAACATCGCAGTCGACAAATGCAGTATGGCTTCGCGAAACGAAAATTATACTATTTTGCTGGGTGCTGCAGTTTTAGTAATGGCTGATGTAAATAAAAAAAAGAGAAAACAACGACGTTGGTGGTGTACTAATTTATTCAAGAAACACAGTGGTACGGGAATTTTAATGGACCTAAAGTCGCAAGAAATAAGCGGACAGTATAAAAATTTCACTCGAATGACACCTACTGACTTTGAGAATCTGTTGCAAAGGATTGGACCCCATATTTCAAAACAGTAGACTTATTTTCGTACTCCAATCTCTGCCCAAGATAGGTAAGTCGGTGTACCGTGGACAGGTAGCTTTGTTTTTTAACATTTTTTTTTAAATTAATATTCTAGGTTAGCCGTAATACTTCGGTATACACGTTTATCAGACATAATATTTTTTCTTCCGACCATGAATCCATAACTTTATTGAAGAAAAATAAAGTTCGCTCGCGAGCTAAAGAAAAACAACGAACCTTGTCTAAACACGTCCCAATATGCACTGCGAATTCCTTTGTGTTCGTCGAAAAAACCGACAGGCCGCGGCTCGTCGCGAGCGGCTCACGAGCTGCTCACAAGCAGTTCGTTTGGAACCATAAACCCCGTCCCAATTAGCCGAACAAGTTTCTCACAAGCGGCTCGCGAACCGCTCGGCTCGCATATGTATACGCACCTTTATGCTCCATGTGCAAGTGTCCGTCTACGCCGCCGCCGCGCGCCGCGGCCGTGAGTCAGCGCTGTGCTATAGTTGTCGTCAAGCGGCTAATGTGCGTATACCGCGATTTGAGGTTAGTTTCTCTTTATATACGCCGATATCTTATTTTTTACATGCCTAAGTTGAAGCTTGAGTTTCTGCTGAAAGTTATTTCATAGGAAGTAGCTTTTTCTTATTGGTTTTAATTAAATTAAACACACACAAGTTGCAATTTACATCAGGTAAAATGATTCATAAATTTGTCATTATTTTCTTATATTTTAATTAATATGTTTTTTTAGAAAAAAATGGACATACGCAATTTTTTTAAAAGAAAAATTACAACCACCGAAGAAACCACTAATCCGTCTAAAAAAATGGGACTTCAACCAGTACATCAAGTAATACCGAGTACAAGTACAAGTAGTAGCTTGGACCAAGAAGATCAAGGACCAGACACTACAAAAGCAGATGAGTCAAACACATTATTCGGGATAAGAACAATTTTAACAGATAAACCTGTTCAAGATACCCAAATGTTGTTAAATGATGACCAATCGGACTCGAAAGACATTGGAAATTTCCTTAATAACTCATCGTCAATACCGGATAAACAAAAATATGATTTATTAATAAGTCCATATAGACCACCCCCTACCTATGACTTTAAGAAAGATGTAGAATCAAACAAACGACCATTTATTCATAAATGGCTTAATCAATATGACTGGCTAGCTTATTCCAAACTTCTTAAAGGCAGCTTTTGTAAATATTGTGTCATTTTCCCACCCACTGTTAACCGCGGTAGTGCTTTAGGCGCATTTAGTACGAAGCCATTTTTAAAATATAGGGATTTTCACACCCAGACCAAAAACCACGTCAATTCAGCTTGGCATCAAGATTCAGCCATTCGGGGTAAAAATTTTATTGATATTTTGTCAAATAAAAAAAATGACATATTGGCTTCAATTGACGAGGGAAGGAAAAAAAATATTTTGGAAAATAGGAATAAAATTCTTCCAATTATTAAAACGATAATTTTTTGTGGAACCCATGATATGCCTTTAACTCTTTTAAGTACGGTGGATGACATATTAAACCACTTTTTTCTAGACCTTGAAGGTACTGTGGAGCAATATATATACCACCTAGACAAAATTATTTATTGAATAGGGACACCGGTTTAAACCCCGTACCGCTAATGGAGGCGTCTAATAAGAGTATAAAGAATCAGCTGACACGATTGTTTTTCATATTTGGCATTGAGGTTAGAGTCTGTTACAATCAATGTGAGTTCTTGCACCACGTGTCGTTAGTAGCCGCCCTGACAAGTATAAATTAGCTATTTTTACTGGTTTTTCTTTGCAAAAATCAAGTGAGACGTATTCAGCAGAAACTATTTAAGGTAGGGCAATATAGTTTTTGAATATAAATGCTTCTTATATATTGTCATTTTGGTTTATTTTCTAGTGTTCATAAATTGTACCACCGTACCATGAGTAAAATGAATCGCCAAGAACCTCTTACCTTCAAATTAGTTGATATGACTGAGGACGAACTTTATGACGAAATTGCTCATATAGGTGATGATTTTGCTTCAATTCCTTCTGATGGTGCTTCTGATAATGACAGTGACGCTGAAGAAGAGACGGGAGATTTGCAAGAAGATATGCATGTAGATGTGTTAGAAAATAACTCTGGTGATGAAATTATAGTTTCTGGTTCGGATATCGAATCGCCTGATGAATGGGACTCTGATGATCTAGTGCCATTAGCGACATTGGCTCAAAAATGTAAAAATCAAAGACCAGTTTCATGGAGTAATCTTACAAGTAATATGAAACTGCCTGCAGATTTTGTAAGTGATTCTGGCCTACCTCGTTCCATTCAAGATCGTGAAACACTCAATCCTTATGAAGCGTTCAATTTGCTTTTCACTGACGATATTTTAAATCACATTGTTTTTCAAACAAATCTTTATGCAGAGCAGCGATATCAAGATACAGGAAAACCCTACAATAAAACAGATATCACAGAAATCAAAACATTTCTAGGTATAAACCTTCTTTTCGGCATAAAGAAATATCCAAGTTACAGAGACCACTGGAGTACATCTGCTGACCTTCACGATCCATATATAAGCAAATTAATGACAGTACATAGATTTGGTTGGCTTCTCACTCACATCCATCTAAATGATAACAGCACAATACCAGAACGCGTATCAGACCGTTACGACAAACTTTATAAAGTGCGGCCGTTATTGCAATTTTTATTAGAGAATTTTCAATCATCCTTACAACCACATGAACATCTTGCTGTAGATGAAGCTATGATTAAATTTAAAGGTCGCTCCTCCCTAAAACAATATTTACCCAAAAAGCCTATCAAAAGAGGTTACAAAGTATGGGTTCTTGCCGACAAAACCGGGTATTGTTGGAACTTTGAGATATATACTGGAAAGGTTGGAAATGAGACAGAGAAGAATTTAGGAGCCAGAGTTGTCAAAAGTTTGACTGCCCAGGTTATAAATAAAAATCATCGAATATATTTCGATAACTTTTTTTCATCAGTAAAGCTTATGCAAGATCTTCTTGATTTAAAATTATTTGCTACTGCAACAGTAAATCCTAACCGGAAAGATTTGCCCAAATTTAGTCCTGACAAATCTTTAAAAAGAGGGCAATATGAGTGGCACACAAGTGATATTGGAGTGACCGCAGTAAAATGGCGCGATAAAAGAGCTGTCCACTTACTATCTAATTATCACAATCCTACAATAATTACAGAAGTCAGAAGGAAGGAAAAGGACGGCACTGTAGTTCAAATACCATGCCCTGCTTTACTTACCGACTATAATAAAAACATGAACTTCGTTGATAAGTTTGATCAAAAGAGAGGATCCTATGGGATTGACCGGAAAAGCCATAAATGGTGGCACCGAATATTTTTTTTCTTCTTGGATGCAGCTGTAGTGAATGCTTTTATTATATATCAACTCCATAATGACGGAATTTCTCCAAAACTAACTCTAAAAGATTTTCGAAGACAAATTTCTCAACATCTGGTAGCCAAATCACTTGTGCAAAAAATAACACAACCCATGGAGCTTTCCACAACGCTGAAAAAACATAAACCTTCAGTACCAGAAGCTGTAAGATTAACAGAAAGCTCACATCAACCGATGAGAACCAGCCGTCGGAGATGTGCCTTTTGTAGCACGAAGAAAAAAGACATCCGAACCAATTGGCAATGTAATGTTTGTAATGTTCCTCTATGCTTAGGGAAAACAAGAAGCTGTTTCCAGAGTTATCACAGAAAATAATTTCCATTCAAGCGGTATTCGAAACAAGTTTCTCCCGGTTCTTTTTTTTCAATTCACGGCGCTACCATTTATGTATTTTATTTTATGTATGGTGGTGGAAAAAATAAACCACCCTGTATTTTTTTTCTAAACAATTTTTTTTTTTGATATTGAGTAAAATTTACGTTAAATGTAGTGCCCTCATTCCAAACATGTAATCATTTTTCAAAAGTTTAATAAAAATTTTTCTTGTACCTTTCTGGTTTTATTTTCAAGGCAATTCCTGTACCTGAAAGAGTTAAGGGAAAGCAGCAAGAATGCTGGCAATTTTAGTGACCTTTTAAAATTCAGGATAGACGCTGGTGACCAAACTTTGGGCAACCACCTGTTTACCGCTGCTGGTAATTCTAAATATACATCACACAGAATTCAAAATGAAATAATTTCATTAGCCGGAGAAGTACTGTTAAGAAGCGTAGTAGAAGAAGCAAATTCTTCTAAATATTTTAGTGTCTTGGCTGATGAGACTGCCGACATTGCCGGACACGAGCAGCTATCTATTGGCATACGATATGTATTTGAACAAAATGATAAGTTTACCCTGAAAGAAGAGTTTCTTGGATTTGTCAAGTTGGACCGACTAAACGCTGATAGCATCGCATCTTCAATTTTGCAGTTTTTAGAAAAATCGGGCTTAAATCTTGACAAACTTGTAGGACAGGGTTACGATGGATGCTCAACAATGTCTGGTGAAATTCATGGAGTTCAAAAAATTATACAAGAAAAGTATAAAAGGGCATTTTATTTTCATTGTGCATCACACAAATTAAATTTAGTTATTAATGATGTAAGTAAAATAACGGAAATTCGCAATACTATTGGTACCGTAAAAGACATAATAGTTTTTTTTAGAGAAAGTAGTTTAAGAAGGAATCTAATTCCAAATATACCTCTATTCTGTGAGACTCGTTGGTCAGCCAAGTATAAGTCTTTGCGCATTTTTGCAGAAAATTTTAATACAATATTTAAAACTCTTCATGATATAAAAACTGGAGAAATTTTAATGAATTCCGCTACAACAAAAAGAGCTGCTCAGTTATGGGCTGCTACAAATTCATTTTCTTTTGTTATTTGTCTAATGGTAGGTAGTAAATATTCAAATATTTTAGAACCGGTTGCGAATACCCTTCAAGGAGTTTCAATAAATTTTGTAGATGTTTATCACCACATTAATTTAATAGTTAACAGTTGTAATAAAAATCGATTAGAAGTTGATACCGTTTTTGCAGAACTTTATTCCAAAGCAGTGTCCAGTTGTGAGACTCTTGGAATAGAGGTGGCTAAGCCACGAATTTGTGGTCGACAAATTTATAGATCCAACTATGAATCTGATTCAGCTGAAGACTATTGTAAAAAATCGATATTTATTCCATATGTAGATCATTTAATTCTTGCCTTAAAAACAAGATTTTCAAAAGAGCATGAAATTGCCTTTTCTTTATTTGATATTTTGCCAAAAAATATAAAGTCTTTAGACAGTAAATCGTTCGGAGTTAAGATCAAACAGCTGTATAACATTGAAAATTTAGAAAGCGAGTTAAATATTTGGAAAGAGTATTTATGTCAATCTAAAATTGCAGAAAATATAGCCATTGAAGAACTTATTGGACATTGTAAATTTTTTCCTGCTGTTAAAGATTGCTGCATACTTCTCCTTACTTTGCCGTGTACCACTTGCACTATAGAGCGCAGTTTTAGCACCTTACGTAGGATTAAAACATGGTTAAGAGCTACAATGGGACAAGAGAGACTTGTTGGATTAGCATTGCTGAGTATCCATCGAAAACGAACAGAAACTATTCAAAATTTTGCCATTAAAATATTAGATCTATTTTGCCAAAGCAACCGAAGACTGGTTTTTAGTCTAGAGTAATAAATGTATTTGGTATTATTAGTTATTAATAGAATTATTAGTAAAATGTTATGTTATTTTTAAGGACTTACATTTTTTTCTTTTGAACCATAAAACCATAAAAACCTCTCTAGGAAGAAGTCATCTGTTTAGTTATATTTTATTTTTATGTATATTTTATTTTTGTTATCATAACGATTTTCAACTTTTAATAAAAATAACTAAATTTGAAATGCAACAAGTTTTATTTTGCCCCCCCTGAAAAAAAATCCTGCGGGCGCCCATGATCGAAGAACATTATAAAACCACCCGAAAAGTCTGTGAGCTTAGAGTAAATAGGTACACTAAAATTCAAAAACATGTTTTAAGAAATCTTACCGTTTCACCCAAGCAGGTATTAGATGAAATATCCCCGCTTGCTAACAATAAAGCTCCGGGTGAAGACGGTATTGTTAAAATAACACTAAAACATCTGTCTAACAAAGCCATTACACAGTTTACAAACATTATTAATGCAGTAATCCGATTACAGTATTACCCAGAACCATTGAAAAAGGCAATAATATGGCGTATACTAAAACCCAACAAAAATCCCCATCTACCCGATTCTTATCGACCTATTTCACTATTAAGTACTATCGCCAAAGTGATAGATCCTTTCATATTATGCGTATTACTTAAAGAAGAAGAAAAACTCAAAATATTATCTAGCGAATAATTTGGGTTCCGAGCAGGCCACGGAACAATGGGAGAAATAGCTAGAGTAATGCACCATATCCAGGAAGGGTTCAATGATGGTAAAAGTACAGTAATGGCTTTGTTAGATATAGAAAAAGCATTTGATAAAGTCTGGACAGACAAACTAATAGAAAAGTTAGCAGACTTCGGGTTTCCCTCATATCTAGTAAATCTGATCGACTCATACTTGTTCTCAAGAAAGTTTTCTATGAGAATTAACAACAATAATTACGGGAGCTTTAATATGAACGCAGGTGTTCCGCAAGGGTCTTCATTATCACCGGTACTCTTTATTCTGTTTATATCAGACCTACCAAAATTTGAAAAACACTGCACTGTATGCCGATGATACCTGTATTTATGCTTCAGCAGTTCAATCTGAGGTAGCATGTAGGCAGGTAGACATTCACATCAGTAGAAAAATCATTCCGTTTTTCGAACAAAATAAAGTAACTATAAAACCGAAGTTCTAAATTGTACAGTTAATTTTGCAAGACATAAAATCAAAATCTTTAGGCCCCTCACAGTGAAAAACGCAAAAATTCAGGCAAGTAAAACCGCTAGATACCTGGTAATTACCATAGATAAACGACTGACATTTCAAAACCACATCAAGACGATACGTATGAAAGCTAACGGTATGCTGAAGACCCTTTACCCGTTAATATGTCCAACTAGTAAACTTCATACGCCCATCAAGCTACTAATATATAAACAGGTTGTTAGGCATGTGCTCCTTTATGGCTGTGAGGTTTACAGTTCAGCATCAAATACACAACTTAATTTTCTCCAAAGGATAGAAAACAAGTTTTTGAGGATAATTATGAGTGCAGCCCGTACAGACACCAATCATCAGATAAAACAAAATCTAATGCAACAGGACACTAGATTCAAAACTATTTTACAGGTCATTAAAGCACAAACCGAGAAATTTTACTTCCACACAATAGATGGTAAAATCAGAAAGCATGGGCTAATTTATCGGTATATTCTTTCGGAATCTCTGCAATGTAAATATGTACCATAATTTTAAATGTAAATATGTATATATGTAAATACCTCTTTGTTTCAAATTTTTAATTTTTTCGAACAGGTTTTGAGTATATTTCCTGTAAATACACTTCTCAACCAAACCCCGAACAATATCTATGAATATTTATTTTTTGGACTTTCCTTTGTTCAAGTTTGTTTTGTAAGTGTCATTTTATTATTTGGATGTGACAAGAATAATATAACCACATGCACATGTACATTATAAAATTATTTAGCTTAACACCAAGCATCTCTGTGGGTCAAATCGAGTGTGCGCCCGATTCCACAGAGAATATTACTATGTTAGGATTAAGCCTAACCCTCGTTGTGTATATATAATTTAAGTGCATATTACTGTATATAATCTTGAAAAATAAATATAAATTGTTGCTAAAAATTGTTGCTAGTTTGAGTCCGGAAATCATAAGGACTGCCACTCGTCAGGAGTACAGGAGTTAATACGTAGATGTTTTAAATGTTTGGAAGTTACTGGTGGTCATTTTGAACATTTATCAAAATAAGCTGTTTCTTGTTATGTTTTAATATTGTTTTGTGATAGTAGGAAAGTTAAATGGGTCATTCCACAAAAATAGTACCACTCATTGTCCGCGACACATTTCACATAGTATAATTAGAAATACTTTGTCCCAAAATTGTTAATTAACATCTCGCAATGTGTTTTATTCATTACCCATATATTTAGAAATAAATATATTTAAGATAAATCTAAAATCTCTCATAAAGATTATGTTTGGGTACCCATATTTATAGATACATCAACTATATACTTTATTTGATTTAACAATTATCTAGTTTATTCTACATACACAAAACTCTATTAATATTTTGTAGTTTCAATAAAAAATAATCGATTTTCTGAAGTTGAAAAAGTGTCCTCGATTTTATCCGTCATTCCCTAGTCACGCCAAGATTTACAAATTTCGCGCCATAATATCAATGAAGAGTGAATGACATCTAGTTGATTTAAAAGTACGACGCGAAGTTATCCATAGACCATGCTCGCTGAGCTGCAGCCATTTTGTGATTCAGTGCAAACGCGACAGTTGTTGCGGAAACATGTTGATCCAGTCACTTTGTCATTCCCTAGGTGAGTAGTTTTATTGTTTATAATAGGAAACTGATGATAATTAAATAATATTTATGTGTGATTTGTTGGTCTTCTTTGGTACATCATATTAAACAGCTTTTATTAGAAGTTAACCTGCATTTGTCTCAAGTTTTACTCCAAATCGTCAGTGCCTGGACCATCAGGCCCTAGCTCTTAATTGTGCTAGGGACTGACGGATATAGCTAGGGAATGACGTTTCGATATATTGTGATATTAACAAAATATCTAAATGTAGGTTATAAGTGAAACGACCTAGAAACTTTATGGAATGATATTAGGGGATGAAAAAGTCATTTAGGGTTTATGTTATTTATGTAAAAATATTTAATAAAATGCAAAATACTACATTTGACGATTGTTTTTTTTTTTTAGTTTGAGTTTAAAAACTGGGAAGTTATAGACTTATAATAAGTTGTTTGCGGTCGTTCGTCACAATATCTAAGCATTAAGTGTTATTTTTCCATTTTGCAGAAGAATGTCACCTAAAAACAAGCCAAAATTGTCCAAAGAGGAAATAGCCAGTAAAAAATCAGCCGCCGCAAAAGCTCGATTGGAGAAAATCAAAAGCGATCCAGTTCTGTTGGCAGAATATAAAGAGAAAGAAAGAGTTAAATATTTAAGAAAGAAAGGGAAGGGACAACGTAAGTCTATTCAGGATATGACCCCACGGGAGCAGAGAAAAATTAGAAAACAATGGAAGAAGTATTCAACTGATTACAGAAAGAAGAAAACAATTACAAAAGATTGTGAAAATTAAGTTGTTCAGAATACGCCACCTACATCTGAAAATGAATCATCTGAAGAAAATGTAGATCCAGAACCGCAGATCAATAATAACAATAACGAAAACTCTAGACAAGTGGAAGCTAAAAGAAGAAGCCGATATCAACGGAAGATAAGAAATAAAGTGTTACAGGAAAAATGTGCGATTATTGATGATTTAAAAAAGAAACTTAATACTCAACAGAAGAAATACAATAGACTGAAACAAAAAATTGAGAAATCGAAGAAATTACTCACACCTAAAAGTAAAATAGAACAAATGGCAGAAGATCCTAATCAAAGTAGAGAACTGGTCAAAAAGGCTTTATTTGGCGAAGTTTTGCAAACTCAAATTACAGAAAATATTTCCAAAGCTCAAACTCATCAAGAAAAATCCAACTTTAAACAGCTTTTGGCTGGTCCCACAGTAGAAAAATATAAACTTTGGCGACAAAGTTGTAGCTCTATATTGTATAACAAGATTCGGCGCAAAAGTTTTAAAAATAATGATAAAACTAAGAAAAACTTAGTAGTCCAAATGGTTCACAGATTTTATGAAGACGACAGTAATAGTCGCTCTGCAGGAGGAAAAAAGGAGTGTATTACTCGCAATAAAAACAAAAAACAGAAACGCTATTTGCTAGACTCATTAAAAAATTTATACCAAAAGTTTCTTCAAACAAAAACATTGACAATTGGCTATTCACTGTTTTGTAGATTACGTCCATTTTGGGTCGTTTCCCCTAAAATAACAGATCGCGATACTTGTGCCTGCATTATACATGAAAATATGAATCTAAAATTATGTGCTTTAAAAAACCTAAGATTCTTGGCTTCGACAATTATCAAACAGGATTACAGATACTTTGTTGCAATCGTTATTCTGAAAAATGTTTGTTGAGACAGTGCAAATTGTGCTCTACTAAAGTGTTACCATATGCTGAATTCGATATCAGCAAAGATATTTTGGTAGATCAGTGGACACATGGAAAAGTATTGATTATAGATTCTAAAACAAAAAAGAGCGTTCAATTTCAAAGTATAAAAAAGAGACAAAGAATATGGTGCCTCGCAATTTAATTATACAACTGGAAAATGATCTGCAAAAATTTTTCCTACATGAAGTTAACATTGTTCACCAGTACAATACTTTAAAATCTCTCAAACAGTCATTGACGGACAGGGACGCAGTAATACATCGACGGTGAGCTGGCAATACCTCCTATCTGATTTTTTTGCCAAAATGAGATTTTTGTGACTTCCTATCGCAATCTATGCTAGGCATGTCTCGTAAGCGCAGTTTTCAGCATAGAACAACAGTTTAGCGCGATATTTAGTCTTGAAATTTCTCCCACCTAAA